AGAGAGGAGGGAGAGGAGGAGAGAGGGAGAGAGGGAAAGAGGAGAGAGAGAGAGGGAGGGAGGGAGAGGAGAAGGGGAGAGGAGGAGAGAGGAGAGGAGAGAGAGAGGAGAGAGAGAAGAGGAGAGAGGAGAGGAGAGTGAGAGAGAGGAAGAGAGGAGAGAGGAGAGAGAGAGGAGAGAGACGAAAGGACCACCCATGAGGGGAGGAAAGAAAAGAGGGGGAGAAAAAAGAAAAGAAAAGAGAAGAAAGAAGAGAGAGAAAATGTAGAGAGATCCTCATAACCAGGTCTAAACCAGGACTAAACCAGGACTAAACCAGGACTAAACCAGGTCTAAACCAGGACTAAAACCAGACTAAACCAGGTCTAAACCAGACTAAACCAGGTCTAAAACCAGGTCTAAACCAGGACTAAACCAGGCTCTAAACCAGGACTAAACCAGGTCTAAACCAGGACTAAACCAGGACTAAACCAGGTCTAAACCAGGACTAAACCAGGACTAAACCAGGTCTAAACCAGGACTAAACCAGGACTAAACCAGGTCTAAACCAGGACTAAACCAGGTCTAAAACCAGGTCTAAACCAGGACTAAACCAGGACTAAACCAGGTCTAAACCAGGACTAAACCAGGACTAAAACCAGGTCTAAAACCAGGACTAAACCAGACTAAACCAGGTCTAAACCAGGACTAAACCAGACTAAAACCAGGTCTAAACCAGGACTAAACTAAACCAGGACTAAACCAGGTCTAAAACCAGGTCTAAACCAGGACTAAACCAGGACTAAACCAGGACTAAAACCAGGTCTAAACCAGGACTAAACCAGGGACTAAACCAGTCTAAACCAGGACTAAACCAGGACTAAACCAGGTCTAAACCAGGTCTAAACCAGGACTAAACCAGGACTAAACCAGGACTAAACCAGGTCTAAACCAGGAAAACTAAACCAGGACTAAACCAGGTCTAAACCAGGACTAAACCAGGACTAAACCAGGTCTAAACCAGGACTAAACCAGGACTAAACCAGGTCTAAACCAGGTACTAAACCAGGACTAAACCAGGTCTAAAACCAGGACTAAACCAGGACTAAACCAGGTCTAAACCAGGTCTAAAACCAGGACTAAACCAGGACTAAACCAGGACTAAACCAGGTCTAAACCAGGACTAAACCAGGACTAAACCAGGTCTAAACCAGGACTAAACCAGGACTAAACCAGGTCTAAACCAGGACTAAACCAGGACTAAACCAGGTCTAAACCAGGTCTAAACCAGGTCTTAAACCAGGACTAAAACCAGGACTAAAACCAGGTCTAAACCAGGTCTAAACCAGGTCCAGGTAAACCAGGACTAAACCAGGACTAAACCAGGTCTAAACCAGGTCTAAACCAGGACTAAACCAGGTCTAAACCCAGGCTAAACCAGGACTAAACCAGGTCTAAACCAGGACTAAACCAGACTAAACCAGGTCTAAACCAGGGAGGAAAGATGCAGAGACAGCTCCTCCTGCTTTTCCCTAAAAACGCTCAACTGGTGCCGGGATCCTCAGTCAGCGCCAGCACAGCGGCCGGACCAGACCCAGAACCAGACCCAGACCCAGGACTAAACCCGGACTACAGCGGGTCTGAAGCAGGACGACAGATCCAAGCCCTGAGCCGGAGAAGAGAGAACAGAAAAGAAAAGAAAAGATCCAGATTTGACTGAGCAGAAACTCCAGCTTCTGTTCTGGACTGAGACTCGGAGGAGAAGAGCGACTTCATTCAACATTTTGACATTTTTAAAAATCATCTTTGTCAACGAAAAACCACAATTTTGAAAACTGAAAGGACAGATCTTCGTTTGGAGATTTCAGACTCATTTTCCAAACTCCAGAGTGTTTGTTTTTCCTGAACAGGTGAAGTAGAGACTTTTTCAAATCTACAGTTTCTTCATTTTGATGTTTGTGTCTGAGGTGAAACAGAAACAGATCGGCTCTGGTTTTACTTCTACACCATAAAAATGAAATGAGTGTTTGATTTTTGATTCAGTCCTGACGTTTGTGGCTGAAGTTTGTCTCTTCTGGTTTTGGTTCATTCAAGTGGAGAGTTTAACCGCCTCCAGACTCGGCTCCATCTGCCGCCGCAAACACGAGACGCAGCGATTCTCCACAACCGACTCCCCGCTTCACACCAGAGGTTCTCCTGAGGCCACGAGCTGAAACACCACGAGCTGAAACACCACGAGCTGAAACACCACGAGCTGAAACACCGGGAAGGAACATCTGACAAACGCTCAGGTTTAGAGTTTACAG